AATCCCCGAAATAGCGTTTTCTCATGGAAGAAAGCTTTTCGGGGATTACTTTTCCCAGTAGTAATAGTACTAGTAGTAGTACTTCTAGTGGTGGTAGTAGTAGGCAGGACGTGATTGCATTAGGATATGTCGTAGGTAGTAGGATTACGGATTATAGCAAGGATTACGGATTAAAGCGGATTCCGTGTAATTCGCGGATTGGATGGATTGCGGATTGTATTTAGGCGCGTCGGGCTTGCGAACAGCTCAGCCAAAGCATGGGCCTGGGTGAGAGATCAGAATTGACAAGAACCTGTTGGGTTACAGGCAGATGAATGACACCGATGAGGATTTTCAATCATCTCACCTACTCCCAATACCTACTCAGTACTTCCTCTAGAAGGGTCTTACAGCAGTTTTCCGACGGTTGCTGTGTCAGATGGGCTTCTTCACTCCTTGGCACACATAGTTGCCGTCTCTCCGCGCTTTCGCCAGGTGGTGGGCCTGCCAGCCATGCAGGCCGATGGCAAGAGTGGCCAGGATGAGATCTTCAAGGAGACCAACAAGGTCTTTGACGTGGGAAGAGGTGCGGAGCTCGCTTGGAGTGGACCCGCGCCGGATCCGGCGGTCCGAGCGGGCTGGTGGGGTACCTGCGGTGGCGGAGCGGAGCGACGCCCACGGGGGGTTTGCAAGAGCAGCTTGCGTGTGAAGTGGTTACTGGCAAATCTGAAGTTAAATGAAAGAACCAGACCTTTGGCAGCTTTGACCCCCCATGGCGGTAGGGGCCCGAGTTCTGGGGCGGGTTCGGGGGTTTGACAATCCGGACCCCCCAAGGGCTGCCTCGAAGCAAGAGAATGAACCCCCCCGTCGTGAACGAGGTCAGCCTCCATCACCCATGTTGTAACATACACTCGCTGTCCACGAGGGCCATGGCCCATCATGGGGAGCCTCAAAACACGTTTCCCTTGTCCGCTTCCATGATGGTTTCAGGCAATGTAGTTTCAGGAGCATTTCTTGACGCGGCCTCTTCTGAGTCGCAGCTGACCGAGATGCCTCAAACAATGGCGGGGGCGCGGAGGTGTGGAAGTTCCATTCCTGGGGCAAGGAACCAGGCAGAAAAAAGGACCAGGCAGAACATGCAGATGAGGATGAGGAAAGAAGAGCTTGATGACTCAGGGCTTCCCAAGTCCTTTGGTGGTTTCAAGCACCAGGTCCATGTCGGTTCGTGCTGCTGTTTTGGGGCACCCTGAAACCTGCGGAGCACCTGCTGAGCCGCTGGGAACGGGCCACACAAACGCGTGCCAGGCGCCATTGAGATGGAAGTGAACAAGGTGAATCAGGAGCGGAAGGTTCCAGTGCCTGGCTGTGCCCCCCCATCCCTGCCCCAGCTGCCCGGCCACGGAAGGGACATGTTTCAAGGAAGTCGTGCGAGGGGTGACCGAGACCAGAGAGAGAGAGAGAGAGAGATCTTTTCTTTTTTTAAATGTATGAGTCACACACACACAAATAAATATATAAACAAATATATACCTATTGTATCACAAATTCCTATAGCATAGGAAGCTACAAACACTATGGTGGCCTCCCTCCGCAGGAGTTGGGCGAGATCGGCGGTGTCTTTGTGTCCAAGCAGCCCTCGGACACGGACATGGGTGCCAAAGAGCCCAAGACGATCTTGCTGAAGGGCAGCCTGGGCTGAGAGGGAGGCCAACCCAGGAAAAGTGGACAACCTGCTCAACCTTTTTTGAGGGATTGGTTCTCCACTCAAATCCAACAATTGGAAAGAGGCTGAGGGTCACAAGGATCCCTCCGGGCGGCCAAATGAGTTCCATCGAGCCGTGCAGGAAGGCATTTCGTTGGTCAGATGTTGTCCTCTCGTCTTCTTGGGACCCAGTGCCAACACCAGATGGGGTCTTAAAGAAAGTGTCATTCAAGTCAAGTCAGGTTTGGTCCTTTCTTTTAAGGGGTGCCCTTGTTGGTGAGAGGCTTCGAACAAACCTACCACATTCAACCCCTGGAACCCCCCTCCGAACCCCAGCTGATCTGCTGCAAACATCGTCGGGAAATAGAGGGTGTCCGGCGAATCGAAGGACGCATTGCGCAAACGATCGCCCGCTGTAAACCAGCAGCATTTTCGTGCGATTGAGCTGGCGATGTCTTCCCACCCGCGGATCCTTAAACCATTTTACACCACCGCTTTCGGACAAAACACAAGGGAGACCTTGGCGTTGTTGGTCAAAGCCAACTTGCTTGGACCGCCATGGTAGGGCACCAAAGGTGGGCTGTCTTCAGTGCATTTCCTGCGGCAAGGGAGATCCCCGTCCCCCCTTGCGGATCAGCCAATCAGCCAATCCCAGGCATCTTCTACGGCAAGGTCGTCAGTTCCTGAGCCTCCGCAACACGTCGTTCTTCTGACCCCGCCATGACCTTTTCCGTGCGCCCATTTCTTTCCGGCGCCCCAGCCGGAACTTCGCCGCCCGTGCCGGGCGAAGGGAGAAAAAAGGCGCCCCATTTCGGCGCGGGGAGGATGGCAGAGGTGGGGCCAGCACTCCCGAAGTGGGGCCTTGGGTCTTGCGTCGGTTTTGAGCACTTGATCGAAGACACAAGTTCCATCCAGACATGTTGCCCCAGGTTGAGTGAAGGGTGAGTGAGTGCATTCGGATCTACAATAATTAGATCAGTTTGGGCCAAGTGCATGACCAAGACTCTATTCTATCCTCCAGTTTGCTTGTGAGAATCGCCTGGTCTAGGCAGAACTCCAACACATTCATCGTGGTAGAAGACCGAAAAGGACGAGTTGCTGCAGGTCCCAGTCTGTCTTAGGGCGACAAGGACTTGACTACCTGCTGCTTCAGAGGCGTATCCAGTTCTTCCCCCCCTAAACACGGAGCTGTTCGCAGCTACCAGGGGTTTTCTGAGCACTTGCTAGACTTAGAGAACTCCTTGTGATTCTCTCCTGGTTTACCTTTCAGTATCCCGACACAGCCCGTGGATTGGGAGAAGCTTCTCTTTCTTCTTCTGCCAGCGCTCCTTCCGTCGACGCATGTATATAGCCAGGTCTTCTTGGCTCCCGCCACGAAACACATCACGCTGGGAGCCCGGTTTTGCAAGGGTTTGGCCGGAGGATGCTAGATGGTAGGTGGATGAGTCTTTGTACGAGATGCGATCTGGAAATGGCGGCATGGAAGAGTGTCTACTGTCCCCAGGGTCATTTCCCATTGCATCCTGGTTGCAACTGAGAGTGTACGAACATGTGGTAGGTTGGGAATGGTATTATAGGTGTAGGTGTAGGCATAGTTTCATGGGGCAGTGGTGAATGCAAGATTGCTCATTTGCAAACCTAGACTTGCTCACCTTTGCAGCACCATGGGACAGCGCTCTGCCTCGTGTGGTGGAAGCACTTCTGCGAAGAAGCCTCGTGTGTACGTATCAACGCTACCGTGTTCATTTCGTATTTCTCCCTACCCTACCAGTCCAAAGATCCAGTAGAACCTCGGCTTTTACATCCTTAAGTCCTTGAGTCGTGTTTTTGTATGATCACGTCCCGTAAAATCCTGTAGAGTCGAGTGGTGAATGGAGGATATACCGCCGCTGGAGTGGCGCCCAGGCCGGTCTCCACCCGGGCGACGAACACGAACAACAAGAAGATTGCCATGGAGCTTCTTGGCTGCCATGGGTTTCGTAGCATCATGCAAATGGTTGAAGAGCAGGAGGGCCCCTCGTGCAGGTCGCCATACAGGGCAGAAATGAGGACCTCCCTCACTAGCTTCAGAGGACCTCACCGGGTGTCTTTGCCACGTATCCAATTCTCTGCCACGATCATTGGGGTTGGCTTTCAATTTCACAAGGCCGTGAAGCAAGTGGTGTGTAAGCTTCAGGGGGGCAAGGGATGGCCCAGGAAGTCCAAGACCATACCAGATCCAGTGTCCAGGGCTGAACCCCCCATCTTTCCCGTCCCCCCCTTCCAAGTCCCTCCCGCCACGTCGCTCCTTCCATCCGTGCCGATCCGTGCGTCGACTTCATGCGGCGCGGGAGGTTTGTGCACGCCACGAAGGATGTCCAAGCGCAGATGCTCAAGGACCCAGCGGTGGCGCGGGCCCGGCACGCCCAGGAGTCGGCCGCCGTGGACCGGACATATCCGCGTCACCCCCGGTGTGGTGTCCGTCCGGTGAGGCCGAAGGCATTTGGGGCGGAGAGTGGTGATCTTTGGAACGGAGAGCGGTGCACCATCTGGTTCGGGATTCTGGACTGGTGCATGGTGCAGTCGCTGCCTTCGCATCGGATCGATCCTTAAAGGTGTGCGGTTGGGACGGGGGGTGAAGCACCCAGCGCCAGTCTGTTTTCATTTCATGTTTTGTCCACTGGTCCACTGATTGCTTAGCACCCCTGACTTGCCAATGGTCAGCTGCCAGCGAAGAGATTCTGATTCGGCTTTTTGTTCCCAATCCTTCGGATCAAGAACCACAAAGAACCAGAAAAGCGGCTCTTTGCACGGATTGTTTTGGACAAAGCTGACAAGGGGCTTTAAACTGGTTGGGGCTGGTGCAAGACACTCGGAACCTACTGGAATCCAGTGGCTTCAGATGACAGAAGCCACGGCTGCGGCCCCCCCCACGGGTGACTTGGCTGGGGATGAACATATTCGTTGCAGTCCTTGTGGCTTGATCCATGGCGCATGGTGACGAAACCAGAGCAAGACTCCCCAAAGGCAGAAGGGCTCGAAACTTGAAGTGGCGCAGGCAAAGAGGCGGGGAAGCAGCGCGGGTTTTGCTGTAAACGTGTTTGGAAGCACAACTTGCTGCGCTTCAAGTCGAACAATGAAGCAGCTGGTCTCGGATGGATGTTCAGTTTCAAAACTACAGCTCAGCTTTCCGACACTCACACATATCGCGTCCAAGTGCGCTTCCAGCTCTCCAGTTCGAGCCGCATCAAAGGTCCGGCACGAGTCGTTTGCCCCCAAGACTCGGACCGCGAAGTAGCGCGACTTCTGCCAGGTCACTCCGTTGTCTGCAACAACCCCGTTAGGAACCACCGGCACCCCTCCCTCAGCTTAGAACTGGGTTCCACGCACCTTCTGTGACCACCTCTTCTACCGCGGAACCGTGCACTTGGTGCTATGGAGCAGATCCTCCATGCGGGACGGGAGCAGTACAGCCTCCTCAGTGACTTGGCAGATCGTGAACGGCTTGGGCGCTTGGGTGGGAACACCTGTTCGGATGCAATCATTTTCTATTTGTTTCGGGAACTCTTCTTAAGGGACTCCAGGTCTAGAGCTACATTTGGGTTTGTTCTCGTCCGTGCCCACTGGCCGGCACGGCTCATGGTTTTTCCCCACGCCCAGGTCCAAGTCTCTTCTTACAAAGTCGGTGACTTTGGAGTCAAACAATCCATGGTTTCGACGAGGGAACGCCCGTAGAACATGGTCAAACTGCAACTTCCTGCTATATGGAGATGAAGGAACATCCAATCTTTAACCTGTGGGTGTCCATGTTGATGTGAAAGAGCCCGCAGGCAGACACTGCCCCAGTCCAAAGCAGTTCGAGACATTCGGCAGGATTCTTTGTTGCGATGAGAAGCTCCTTTACCGGGTTTTTCAGCCCATGGTCGTTCGGCAGCACAATCTATATATGTCCTCTAATCAAATTCATTTTGGGGCGAAGGGGGGAGGTTGCCCCAATACTATCTACACTCCTTGAAGCAATCATGGAAGTGGACAAAATATGTGTTTGTACGAGGACCATGGTGCTCCAAACGGGGCCATGCCATCCACGTAGACGTAACCATGATGAATTTGGGGTGTTGCACCCAAGTCCAGCCTAACCCAGTAAAACCTGCTCTTTTAGCTCCTTGAGTAGTGTTCCTGTTAATATCTGTTAATGACCACCTCTGGTACATGGGGTCTTTGAATAGAAATAGGTCTAGCAGCTGGTGGCTCCTGGCTTTCGTTACCCTCTTCTCAGGTCATGACCAACTCCAGTGCTTGGGGTCCAACTGACCTGTAGTACGTTTGCCTCGCGACCCCTCAGGTAACATGCTGCGGAGGCCTGAGCTCTTCGTCACTGGGCTGATCGCCTTAATGAAAGCCCAACGCAGAGCCACACAACACTGGCAGACTACGTCATGTAGACTCTTGATTCACGAAAACCCGAAGAGGTTTTTCCATCTGAGGAGGTTATTAATCAAGAGTTTACATGAAAAGGCACCTTAAAAACATGGGTGTTGTAGAGGAAGGTCGTCTTGCAGAGGTCCAAAAAGTTGAGGCGTAGCCTGCTCAGGATACCTGGATCTCCCAACTGTGCAGATTGTCTGCCTTTTGGCCGGTTTGATGGATGAAAAGGATTGAAAAGGCAGACATATTGAACAGTTGAAAGGTCCAGGTAGCAACCCTACAACTCCAAAACGACCTTGTTCTATCCGCTATCCACATAGAGAACTGCCACCCTGTAGACGAACATTGGCTTCAGTGCATCTTCGTGACTGGCATGCTTTCGGACTGTTCGCCTCCATGGCCGGCTTCTGGGTACACTCCCTGGAATTTTCATGTAAGTGGGTGGCTTTGCTCGATGACCCTTTTCCCCAAAGAGGTGGTTACCCACGTCCATGAAGATAGCGGGTCCAAGCTGGGTCTTTCTCATCACCTCAGGTGCCGATGATGGGGATCTGGGTCGCCTCATTCGGCGGTGCTCTCCATGGACCAGTCACCACCTATTTCCAGGCGCCACGCACGGCAGCAGCGTGGATTTCCAAAAAGACACCTCCCCTGTTTGAGTGGTCATGGTCCCATGGGTGTGTCATTTGCTTCGACCCATTTTCATGCATTATCTGCGCTTTGTTTGGTGAAAGCAGAGTTTTCGTCATAGTGTGTTGTGTAGCTGAATGCCTAGGCCATAGTCCCTTCAACCAATGTGCACTCATCAACTTGTGTACCAGGTGAAGGGATCCCAAATCGCTTCCTTAGCTGCCCTAGCAAGGAGCATTCCATGGTTGAATCCTGAACAAGTCTGCGTTGATGCCTAGCCTTTTTTGGGGGGATTGCGCGCTTGGCGGTTGCGGTGGTTTTGGACCTTGCAAGTCAGAAGTCGAGGGAGTTGGGCCGAAACCACGTCTTTCTCCGCGACCAGGTGGAGCTGGGCGCGAGCACTGCATCTCAGCTGCACTCCGTCCGCTTCGTTCGTCGCCGACGTTCGGCCCCCTGGGGGGATCGAAGGTCGGTGGGGCGCACCGAAGGGCTCCGGCGACTGGGGGCGAGATGTTGACGTTTTGGATGAGCTCCTGGAGTGTAGATGGGTTCAAAGGGTTTCCCTTTAGCAACGATTTTCAGCTCATGGGAGACACTGGTGAAAGTTTCCCATAAAGGTTACCCATGGGGCCGTGGGGTGGGCCCATGCCGTACCCGGCAGCCCGGAGATCCGGCCTTTGGCCACCACCCAGAGCTCCGAGCGCCCGGAGCTCGGAGCGCCGCCAGGAGCAGATCGGGAACTTCGGGGTGATCCGTCGCTCGGGCGGCGTGGAAGGCGGGTGGAGGCGTCTTGCGCTGGTCGGGGTCGGGTCGGGTCGGGTCGGTGGGGCAATTTCTCACCATCCAAAAGCGGTTCCGTAATGGCCAGGAGCGCCCCGTTGGGTTCGCGTCCGATCGCTCCGTTCGTAGCGATGCCCTTTGTGACGTTCGTAGCGAACCTTGTTCCTAGGATAGTTGAAGCATGTTGAAGCCATAGCCAGGTTTCAGTTCATGTGACCGAGGATGTATTGACTGGTTGGGTGGAGGACATGGGACTTCTTTTGGGGGCTTCGACCACAAGAAGGGCTCCAGAAGAAGCGCCCAATTTGGGTGAATAGAAACACCGGCTGTAGGCCTGTAGGCGCACAGGGGACCTCAACCGGCAAGGCCGGAGAAACCTTTTTGGATCCTTGTGGATTGGGCCCATGACTGGCAAGCTGGTCATGATTATGACTGCATCGGATCTGCGGGGATGGCCAATTAATGCGAGAGAACAGCGTACACGCTTTTTGGCCAATTGTTGGAACATCGGCCAACCAAACCTTGCTTCTGGGCTCGCCATCTGTTGGTACTCGTAGTCCTTCTTTCACAGGGTGATACCCTCATCTTGGGACGTCGGGTGGGCTCATTGTGTAGCTGTAGGAGAGTGCTGTTTCATTTGCTTCTATTTTCATTTTTTGGGTGTGTGGGCGCACCTTTTACAAGAAACCTGGCATGGGGCCCAATGTCACCCAGTGAAACGGGGATCCTTCAAAAGGTTTTAGGTCCCAACTGACTGTTAGCTAGGCTTGGGTACCGATCACCACCGCTCGGGCTGAGGGACCATCGGAGTCTTATTGGTCTCGCCGCTCTATGGCTGGCTTCTGGATCGCCACTCTGCGTATACTCCGGCAGTGCTTTGGGCTGCATGGCCGCGCCACCGCATCCGCCGGGAACCAGTGGGTCACCGGAGGTTCAGCGGAGAACGCGGAGAACGCTTCTGCCCTGTGCCGGGTCCGCATCGTGCGGTCCCAAGGTGCTCTTCTGCCTCAGGTCGTCCAAGAATACCACGCAGCAATTCTGGAATGCGCTGGTCCTCCAAGAGTCCCAAGCAAACCACTCCAAAGAGCTCATCTCTCTTTAGTGTTCAAGCTGAACGACCTGGTGCTATCACCATCCAACTGAAATCCACTCGGAAGTTCTTCGCATTTTGAGGTGCTCAGTGCCTTTTGCTGTACCTTTGGCTGCCTTTTTCACGGCTTCGCGCAGGAGCATGCCCGGGGCGATCGTGGTATAGTACCATGCAGCTCCGGCCAATAGGCCTTTTAAGACCCATAACAAGAACCGCCCGGAATGATGGGAAAACTCCATCCAAAGCCGCCGGTGGTATGCCGGTTCTTGCGATCGAATCCGGTGGGAAGAACCCACGGCGCGATGGACGGCACTAGGACGTGCAGCACTTGTACCTGGCCAGTGTGGTGTTGGCGTTGGGTGCCGTGAATTTTTGGCCTCGCGGCGTCCAACGGGGTGGATCTCACGTGAGTACTGGTCATCGTTGTCTTGTGGGGAGAAGGGGGGAAGCCAAGGGAGCCAACAAGCGACTAACTTAGCAGGGGGGTAGACTGGGCAATTGACATTTCAACGCCTACTGCGTCATGCTTGGTTTAAGATGATTTTGAGTAACGTTTGTAAACACCGATGATACACGACGTTGCGGCTCAGCACGTGCTCACCACCAAATCTGACCAATGGTCACAAACAAGCCATGACATCAACCTTGAGGTGTTCGAGTCTGAGTGAACACCGCCATGTTGAGGCACTGGCTACACCGCCATGCCGCCCTGCCGGACCCACTCTTCAGTACAGGACTTTCCCCTTTCAGGTCCCCATCCAGAAGTTTCCCTTTCAGGTCCCCATCCAGGCCCTTCTTTTCATAGTCACTCCGAGGGCGTGACAGATGTACAGCCGGTAGTACAGCCGCCAAGTCAGGGCGAGTTTCGAGGTATGACAGCGGGTCACCCGTTGGGACGGCGTGCCGTTTGGCGCTTCATGAGAACATGATGACAACCCCTGCTACGTACGAAGGTCCACTTGCTAACGGCCGGGAGATGTCCCAGAAGAAAGCCTCCTGCGAGTGACGCGTCCCAGAAGAAAGCCTCCTGCATGCTGCTCACATAAGAAAACCCGTAATAAAGCAGCTATTAAAGAATTCAATGTTGTGGCACTCACACATATATACAGTAATCATATTATACTGCATATAGAGAGAGAGATAGATAGAGACACCAAAAAACATACATTCATGTATATTACTAGTGATATGACGTCAGCCCACCACATTTTTCCCGTTTGAGGAACGTGGTGGGCGCCTACGTGGCGTTGGCCACCCCGCGGGAGCAACGGCATGTGGTCGTCACCGGCTTCCAGGCCTGGCCGAGAAGTCGTCAAACACTGTCGGAGAAAGACAAAGACGAAAGGATTCGGAAAAGCAGGAGTCACAAAGGGGTGGTGTTTAGTCCCTAAGTGAGTGGATATTGGGCACCCCTAACCTCCATGGATCGCACCCTTGTGTGACTGGAACATATGTTGAGTGACACCTTGGAAGCCTTTTCGATCCTTGACGGTTTTTGTGCACTAATCGGTTTCAACAGGTTCAACCAGCCAATGGTTTGAATGGCATTCGTGGGGAAAGGTCAGGTCCGACACGTCGGAGAGACGAAGCATCCTTGTTCTCAGTGGGGACTCGGTTCACGTGACCCGAGGTTTGGCCCCAGGGTGCGCCATAAGGCCACAACCATTGGGTCAAAATAGGTCAAAAGGCTCCGGCCATTGGGGAGAAGTTGGAATGCAGCCGGGGTATGGACCCACCAATCAGGGCCGGCCCTCAGACTCATTCGTTCCGAGTGAAGTGACACACTTGCTCCTGCATAGTGATGAAACATCACCTGTTGGCGAAAGCTATGGCTGGACGATCCGATGTGCGTTGCGGAAAGATGTGTGTCAAAAAGACGAAAGAGGCACCCCATTCCCGGCGAGCTGAGCCTGAGAAACAAAGCTCTATTAGACACCCCGGGGGCATTCCACGGTGCGAACGAGCAAGAGCAGGCGGCCCATTGACTACGCTGTCGTCACTCCTTGTGAGGTGCAAGTCTCTGTGCTGCGATTGCTGGGCACCTCGTTGTATCCCTTCGTGGATTCGATGCTGCTGGCGCTGGGCGTGACGCAGAAGCTCCTGAGATATCGGATCCATATGAGCCACTCGTGACGGATGGATTGGGCCGCGCCGGAGCTGCCTCACCAAAGCTGTAGAACATGAAAGGGTAATAACATCCTCCTGTCCATTTGCTCTGTAAAATGGGGGGGTCCACCCTCACCCTAAAACGTTTTAAGGTCTCCCCCCTTCAAGCGGGTCAGGAGGTCATTTTACAAAGAACACGTGCATGCACAGTCGACATGGACATCGATTTGACGTCAGGGATAGTCAAATTAGGATTTGTGCGTGAATGTTGGGACCTTCAAATTACAGGACCTGTGGGGGTTGGGAGCGCCGCTTTACATAATATATGTAATTTGCTATCCGGACCCCCCTGTGGAAACTGACACGGGATTATAATAACAATTTGGAACGTCGCTTGAGTCTCTGAAAGCCTTTGCTTAGAAGATTGGCGTTCTACACGTCACGTGCTGCCTCAGCCTTTGCTTTTACTTTACACATCGCCAGCTCAACCAGGATTGATGGCCGGGGCGCTTCAGGGACACCGCATGACACCCCAAAAACCTGTACGAGGCTATCCAAGGGCCCCAAGGGGTTATCCAAGGGGCTATCATCTAAGAGACCCCATGGCCGTGCCCATTTCAGCTTCAGCCGGACTTTAGACAAAAAACACTTCATCAGTCAGAGCTGACCGCACCAGGTGAGTGTAGCCTCTTCTGTGTTGTTGCCTTTGTCTACCTCGTGGGCCGCTTCCAACCAGCCACCTGGGGGGAGGCGCCGGGCCAGCTGTTTGACAGGGTCATTTGGGTGCCCGACGTCTCATGAGTCGGTCCCAAGAGAAGTGGATGGCACGTGATGGGGACAGTGGTCACTCGTCACGGCTCAACTCACAAGGAGGCACTGGTCGAACATCTTCGGGGTGTTCAGACGTCTGGGTCTCCTCTTTTTGGGGCGAACCGGCTGCCGCTCCCCAACCCATGCGCAATGAGTCTGGGTCTCCGCAAGGACCCGACGCCACACCGGCGACGGGGGCGGGTGAAGCCCGCGCAGACCACGCAAAACGCCCCAGGAGGTGAAGACGGAGGCCAAGGCATCGGAGGAGACCCAGAGAGGCTGAGTGACTGGGAAGATGGGGGGGTTGGGAGGGTGAGTCTGGGAACGAAGCAGTTCACCAGATGAAGCAGCGGACGGTCCAACGCACCCAGCAGTTGCACTCCGACTCACTAGCAGCTGAAGTGGATGGCACCCACCTGGTTGTAAAGGAACGTCGCCTTCGAAGGGACCATTTTGGCACCCTTTTTCACTTTCCATGTTAGTGAGTTAGAGCGCCACCGGCCGTTTTCCCAGCGGTTCTTGCGAGGGCCAGGGGCCGTCGGTCGGCCGTTTCGGGCCGCCTTCCTCGAGCCGCAGCTCTCTTGGAGAGTGGTCGAAGGGGTCCAGGGAAGAAACCGCGATTCCAAGTGATAGTTGGTTTTATTCCAAGACCATAAACAAAGCCGGCCGCGGCAGAGATACGTGCTTTGGCTTATGCAATGCCAAAAAATACACCATAAACAAAAGGGCTGACGTGGCTTAGTACTCTAAAACGTCGTTCGAAGCCTCGGCACTCAAGGGGGTTTGAGGGGACCCCTTTTTCCCATCGCAGGGAGGGGCCAGTCCTATTTCGTTCTTGGGTAAAGACAAGCCCTCTGCAGGAGAAGCTCCAAACCTCTCAACTGGCGTTGCTGCTCACGACCAGCGTGGTGCAATCCTTTGGGGAGACGGCGCGCGTCCGGGACGGCGCGCGTCGCAATGGTGTTGCTGGGGCCGCTCCGGGTGGCATGCCCCAAGTCCAAGCGAAGCTTTTTTGTGGGATTTGAGGTGAATTTGGACTCCCAGGTGGCGGGCGGGGTAGAATGAGTGGTAAAATGAGTCATGGTCTGGGATGCAAGCATGAAGTTCACCAAGTCACTTAGAGCCGCTCCTTGACCTCCTTGACCGAGCCGCTCCTTGACCGTTTCTTCTTCGATGTCCGCGCCTTTCCTCACTTTGCAGGTGGTCACGGTGCTGTGGCCGTTGCACCTGCGGAAGCTGCACTTGGGATCGCATGACCTCGCTTGGCGGCACGGCTATGCATGGCTTTCGCCTGGCTTAGCGAAGGTGGTGGGTTTGAGAAAGCAGTGGGGGTGAGGGAACGTGGGTGTGGAAGAGACCATCCTGGATTGCGTCAAGGGTTGGTTTTGGGGGCTGTGGCTCTTGAAGACTTAAAAGGTGGCAGGCGGTGATGTGTAGAGCCGGGTGCTGGTGCAAATTGCGCGTTGGACCTCTTAAGGGCTCGACGTCCTAGTCGACGTCTTCCAAGCTCGAGCCTTTCAGAGTGGCTGACCTCGAGATCTCAGGTTGCAGCTCTCATCGCAGCTCTTAATCATCCTTAGCACCTTGGGGCCACTGAGCTGAGACAGAACCGGGACACAGGGAGAGTTGGCCTTTTCGGGAGAGTTGGCCGCTCGACCTTTCGGCGGGTGGTTTCGGAGGTTTTTATGTTTAACCTAGCTTTGCTTTAATTACTTGAGATGGTTGAACTATTGAACCCACTGGCTCATATTCTTCAAGTAAGTTGACACCACCGACCAGGTTTTTGATGTTGGACCTTCGGATTCTTCCCAAAGGCCAACGGCACTGGCGGCCGAGGTGCAATTTTCGTAGGCATCCCCTACGCCCTGCAACTCAAATCTTTGAACCTTTGCCAGATCACATAGATCACAGGAGTGACAGTCGCGTGCTTCCAACATCAATGTGCTTCTTTGGGCTGGCCATGCGATTTTTTGACTGCTTGGCCATGGGACATATAATATAATAGTTATATTTTAGTTACATATCGTGTATAAATAGGCAATGCCAGCAGTCGCAAAAGGCTGCCTATTGGAGGATAGGAGTGCCCATTATCTACTCACTTAGGGACTGAACACCACCCCTTTGTGACTCCTGGTGTATTGCACTTCTTAATACAGTAAGCACCACACATATTACATGGACACATGATTCTCTATAGAGATGTATATCCATACACATGTAGCATTACACATGTAGCATACACATGGGCGATGTAGGGCGATCTAGGAGCTCCATCCTTGGCGACGAATGGCGACGCTTGCTGTGCTCAGGTATCCCCCGCTCACGAGGCTGCTAGGCCATCGCTTCAGCGCTTCAGCACTGCCGTTGCTGGCGTCGCTGTGCTCGGCGCTGGCGTTTCTGCAGCCGGAGCCCACGTGGTATGGGCAGGCGGTGCACGTGGCTGCTGGGCGAATTGTAGGGGTGAGTTATATATATATATACCTCTTTTGGATTCTTTTGGGGCAAGAACGTGGCCAGCTTCAAAAGGATTTCTGGGTTTGACTGGAGTAACTAGGCTCGAGGTAATTCCAGGACAAGCCCTGAAAGTGAGAACGGCATGAGAGCGCGATTGCTGCAATAGGCACTTTCCTTAAGCAAACGCGCACTTCTCTCAGGTGGAGCCAGACTTACTTCGCTCCTGGGTTCGCTTACACTTGGTGTTCTTGGTGTGGATCGTTGGGAGTCTCTTTTTCGCTCCCCCTCAGCAGGTGGCTCACAGCTCAGGTGGCTCACAGCAAGTCGTTGGTGGACTCCAGCAGAAGGATGGAGAACTAAGAGGATCACACTATTTTTTGAGAAAGTTGAAATCCACGCTGTGAAAAATCCCAAGGGAACATGCATCCTTGGAACAGAGCGCAGGATTTGGAACAAACATCAGCAGTTGTTTTGGAACACCCATTTTATGCATCTGGACCGCATGCCATACACCTCGGGGAACGGCACTGTTTCAAAGGAAGCTTCGTTTCTATCGTGGTTCAATAGGTTTTGAAAGGAATTTGGCTTTGATAATCTATACACTCTCGAAAACTAACATAGACCCTGACAATGGCCCCCTAAAAGAGTGTTTTCCTTCACGGGATCGTCTTCCAGGGTGTAATACTCGATTCTACTTGGGTGATCGATCCCCAGCGCTCTTCACCACCGGCGGCCGAGCTCACTCGGCTTCTTCACCGGCCGCAAGCGGGGCAATGGATGTTGCGCTGCGATCGGTGGAGTCCATCGCCTTTGCACTCCACAGTGGCTCCGGTTTGGGCGAAGCGAATCCGGAAGTTCGGCCCGGTTCGACTCCAGTGCTAGCAAAGACAATATGTTATTTTCTGGCACCACTGAAGGAATTGTATTTTTCTCGAATAATCTCATGACAATTTTTTAAAACGAGTCCTGGACGCCCAGGGTGACTGCATGCATACCAGGGCCCTCCGATTTTAGGATCCAGACCTGCTGCAAAAGCCAGATTCTTTCTCACCTGATTCCTCCTCAGCCATGGATTTATCGTATTGTCATTGACATCAGGGCTGCTTTCCGGCACTCAGCCCGAGCTGCTCCGGAACCTTCTTGCGTGGCCCAGACGATCCATTCCTAGCGCAACTATGACCTACATTCACCACCCCCCAAGAACCACCCACCAAATGCGCTCGTCCACCAATTCACCCCTCACAACGGGGGGGGAGGATCCTCAAACATCCACCGTGCCGGGTCTCATCGTCTCAGGTCTCATCGGCCTCACGGAGCCCTGTCATGGCCTGGGAGCTCACCTCACCGATGGTCCCTCAGGGGCGCTGCGCAGACCGTCGCCCGGCCGAGCAAGGTGAACGACGACGTCCGTGGTAGAGGTGGATGAGTTCGGCGATGTCCGGCGGGCAATCGACCTTCCCAAAGACTTCATGGGAGCAAAACTAGCAGCTGGCATCCGTGAAGTCATCCTCAGGTGGCGGGACATGTCTGACACACTCCCATCTCCTGAGCCCGAAACGCACCGGCGAGACCGGCTTGCACCAAGGGGTGGGGAGCCTACCAAAAATTGGCACATGGCAACAGCACATGACTCATCATGAGGAGAGAGTTGAGGAAAGTCCACATGCTTTTGACCAGCATTTTTCTAGGGGTCGATTCGTTCATCCCACCCTTGTCCAGGCCGAAGGGTCCGAAACGGCGAATGGAGCGGATGAGAACATGAAGTTGCTGGTAGTCTTGCCACATCATCCAGAAACGAGTTCTACAGAGTTCTGCAATGTCTTTAGCTACTTTTAGTTGTTGAACCGATTTTTTTAAAATCTCCCCACCCGGCGGTGTCACAACACATGGACGCGGCAAAGCACTTGCTGGGGCCATGCCGTCCACTTCCATTCTACTTCCATTCGACTTCAGGACACTCGATGTTCCCAACGCAGCCAACTCAGGACACTCTTTTTCCCCTTCGCTGGCCTTGGCCTGGCTTTGGTGTCCTTAGCCAACTTCTCCGATCCACTGATCTTGGCCGCACAAGCGTATGTCGTGGCCTTTCACAGTGGAGGTGTCTTCGTACACTGGTGCGTTGGGCATCATCCAGTCGCAGGAGTGGCTCCCGGATTCTTTGTAGTTGTGGCTTTCAGCATAGGGGTGCTTAGAACCAACGTTTTCACTGCACTGGTGGGAACATTGGTCTTTGCAGCTGTTGGAACCATACTGGGGTTCCTGATGGTGAGACCGAAACAGAGCGACGCTCTTCTCAGAGATGCAGATCAATAGCCGCTATGAGTTCGCCGGGCAGTTCTAGCTACCCAAGGGACGGCCATCAAAACAGGGACAATGCTGAGGAAAAGTCCCGTGCGTGGGAGTGTGCAAGGGTGAACTAAGAAACTACTCCTAGGTGGGATAGGCAACTCACAGTTTTTCAGTGGATCGAGAGTAGATGTCACAAAACCCTAATGTCGCTGGTCGAAATGGACCCCCATCTAAAAGGACATCATGGGGTGCCAGTGCCAGTGCCATCTACTCTAAAACCACTGTAGATGACGGAACTCTCAGAGCATTGCTGCTCAGGAGGGTCTTGGGATCCCTGTTTTGGACCAAATCCGTGGTCATATTCTGAGTTGCTCACCTTTCATCACCTTTCATGGGTCGTTCGCTCAGAAATGGCCGGTCCGTCTCAGGTTAACGTGCTGAGTTTCCTCGCGTTGTGCGGGACAATGAAGGCCCGGCTCCGGATGTGGTGAAGCCAAGAGCTAGGGCCGCCACCCGGCGAGAGGTGCGACAGGCTTTTCGAGCACGTGTGCCCATCGCCGACTCGACAGATGGCGGGTCCACTCAACCACCCGACCTGGGTGCCAAAGAGTCGGTCGCTCTCACTCATCCAGCAGTGAAGGGGAGTCGGTTGTTTGGTTGGGTTTGGGTTTGGGTTTGGGTTGGTGGCTCGTCCCTCGTCCGTTTTGGCTTTCCTGTTTCAGAAGCACGGTCCTCCTCTTCTGCTCCCTCCCGCGGCCGATCTGCTCCCGCGGCCGGTGACCGGACGGCGCGTGGCGCGCCGGAGGTTTGCTACCAGCACCTGGCCACGCTCGCCGTCCCTGCGGCGCACCAGGGCCGATGCTCGCCTGGGACGGAGCGAGGAGGTGGAGTGGTGGATTGGATGGGGGTGGGCGAACAGCTCAGGGGATCTACAGGAAGTTTCCGAGGTGGATTGGAGTGGGTCTTCCAGGTCTAAAATCGGTGGATCGGAGATATATTTGAGTGGCTCGGGCTGAAGATAAGACAACCTGACTCACATAGGGAACTTCTGGCCAGTTCCCGCCCACACCGCCTCGTGGCTGTGCCCCAACCCGTGACTGACTGAGGCATCTTTTCCTTGCTGAATGTGCTCTCTTCCCTGGGCTGCTTGGACCTTGCTCAGCCATGGGGGTCACCACCCTACACCTGTGGGCGAAATCATTTGGGCACCCCTTGGAACAGCTTGAGGATTGTTCCGTGATTCAGGACCCTTCTTTTCTCGGGTCAGTCGGCCCACATCTTCCTCGCCGCCGCGTAACCTGTGCGGCTCGCAGGCAACATCTTCGGCAACCTGGTGGCGACACGCCTCGCTGAGCATGACGGCGGGGTGCTCTACAGCAAAGGTGCGGCGCCCTTCTTGGTGACCAGCTCGCTGTGTCATGGCACAAAAGAAGACGGGGCGGGGGGCACAAAAAGGACGGCGGGCTGCCCGGGCAGTGACAAGAAGTCCTGAATGAATGGTTCTATCTTATGTTTTCCCACATCGATTACAGCGGGCGGGGACTTTGACATACCATGCGTGCATCGGAAAAAAGTAAAACAAGTACGCGGTCCTATCGAGGGACATCGGCTCGCGATGAGGTTCTGTGCCATGGGCTGCGCAGTGGTCGGGTTTCTATGTGTGCCACACGTGGGAAGCGAAGAGCATGGGAAGCGAGTGGCAGTCGAGCCTGGTGCCCATCAGCAGTGAAAAGAAGCGCCGGGCGCAGATGGGTGCCGAGGGGCAACGATGGGTGCGACGATTGGTGAGCCCCAAAAGCACCAACCCCTTTCCCCATGACCCGTTTGAAAGATGTCAGTCCACCCCTGGTTTATGTTGATTGTTGATGTTTATTCCATATAAAGCGGTCTAGTTCTGCACATACTGATGCTGCTGTAGCTCATTCACCCAGAAGATGAAGGACCGTTTCCCAAGATCCTTCCTTGTCCGGAGCGGGGGCCCATGCATGTCTCGCCTCACGTCGTTGGTATATTGTATTACACAAACAGAAAAACATGGTAGCATGGTCAGCATGGTGAAAGTGACCCCCTTCTTCCGCATTCACCGAGTTTGGTGGATGTTCCCTGAAATCCACTTGAAATTAAGCCACCCCCATCCATCACCCCCTCACCCCCTCGCTTTCTCCACCCTTTGGTCGAACCGAACTCCCAGTACCGGCTGAGGCAATTCTGCAAACTTTAGCGGAGTCGCCCGGAGGGTGCATGCAGAATCTGGGCATGCCAGGCCCGCGTTTGCGCCGCCACACGGTGTTTTTTTTGGGGGGGAACAGGCGGGGATTCGTGGGGAAGCTTCTTCCTGGTTTTGCTGAAGGTTTTTTTTTGTTAAACTTTATCCCCTGTGGTTTAAAATCCGCTTCTGGGGATGTTTCTATTTTGTACTGGTTCCTTCAGCAAATCCAAGTTGTCCATGTCTGGTTCCGCTGTTGCGGTTCCACATGTCGGTGAAGATGGAGGCAAGAAGTGGCTGGCCCAGAAACAAGGCAACACCTCTCATTGTGGAGAGTGTTGGGTTGGTCGTCGCCCATTCTATCCCACTAGACGACAGGGTGGCCCGAAAGCAAGTAGGCGGAAGAGAACAAATAGAAGGGAAGAAAAGCGAAGTAACAGAAGATGAATGAGCACTAAAGAAATGAAGAGATGATATATGATGATTCAAAACATTAAGATGAAACAAAATGAGATGATGATGAGATGACACAATATAATATATATATATATATCTATATATATATATATACATTATGATTATGATACTATTATCACGTTATTACCAAATCTATTAATGTATATTCTGTTGCACTGTACTTCGGAGCCCAAACGGTAGTCCCGGTCGATTCTTTTTTATCCAGCGCCGGTCGAGCTCAAACGCTAGTCCCGGTAGTAAGAGCCGCCGAAGTGTGCGAAATCGCACGTCCCAACCTGGCATCAGGACAACCAATGCTCATACAAATGCAACACTTGAAAAACAAAACAAATTACCCACAGTTCAACTCATGTTGTTTTGTCGGTTATCAGATATAGTTGCACACCCAGTCGGAACAGGATCGACTTCGAACAACTCTCGGTCGTGGATCTCGTGCCTTGTGGAGTCTCTGCACGTTCAGCTGGAACAAGGGTCGACTTCGGACAACTTCCGGTCGTGGACCCAGGTCCTTCTAATCAGTTTGGTCACGACACTTTGCAATAGCCAATTCACAGCTTTTCGCCGATACTTGTAACTTCGTGGCTGGTGACTATATGTGGCATCGACATGCCGGCCTCCTGGAATTCCATTGCGTGGTGTCCACTTTCATTTGGTCCCACTTGTTGCCGCTCAACCTGTTCAAAAGACTCAATGTCTCTGGAAACGAAACTGGTCTTTCAGGTCAAATCACACCAGACATGGTTTACACCAGACACCGTTTACACCAGACATGGTTTACACCAGACATGGTGGAAACCATTGCAGCAGCAATTATAAGGCGATTAGCAACAAAAGATTGCAAAGCACCACGTAACTACGCACTGAACGATGACACAGGAACACCTTCGAGCCAGAACTATAAGGCGAATAGCAACCAAAGCGTGTAAAACACCATGTAACTACGCACCGAACGATGACACAGGAACACCTTCGAGCCAGAACTATAAGGCGATTAGCAACCAAAGATTGCAAAACATCATGTAACTGCGCACCGCAAGCACAGAGAATAGCCTCCCAAAACCGGATCTCGACGTCCAAGCTCCAAAAATTGCGATTTCGAAGCGTTTTTTAAAAGAGATTTATAAGAACAATGAAAGCGGCAAAACTTGGAAAAAAGTACGTTGGAAACCATTGCAGTAGCAATTATAAGGCGATTAGCAACCAAAGCTTGCAAAACACCACGTAACTGCGCACCAAACGATGACACAGGAACACCTTCGAGCCAGAACTATAAGGCGATTAGCAACCAAAGCTTGCAAAACACAATGTAACTACGCTCCGAGCGATGACACAGGAACACCTTCAAGCCAGAATTACAATGGGGGAACGCTCCGGGCACAGACCATGGAATCGCATTTCCCAACGAGTATGAAGTCCGCAGCGCACATTCGCGACATC